ATAAAGTTGTGAGGAGAAGTTGAAACATGAAGAAAAATGGACTTGAAACTGAACTGAAAATGAATGAGTCCCTATGGACCTCTGCTGGATATATGTGGTCATTGCAGTTTCTTTAACTATAATACCGAAAGATATTCCTCTAACCTGCAGATGGCAGTATTCTATCCCTAACACATGGGCCAATATCCAGAAACCTTTTATATTTAATTTAGGTCATAATTTAAGGGATTTTTTCATTAAAAAAAAATATTTTTTTATAAGCCAATTTATGGCATAGTTGAGTATTTGTGCAGTAAATAGGTAAAAAAACTACCAAATATCCACAAAAACACAGCATAAATGTATAGCTGAGAAGTAAATAAAAAAAATGATATATAGTTTGTCATATAAAAAATGTATATTTCCTTATGCAATCGCTCTGTAAAAGTTTGGGGTCTATCTGACCCCAAGGGACTTTAACGTTGCTCAAATCAAGGGACGATTAAAGGTTAATCTATTTGACGTCAGAAAGCTGCAGAAGTTTGGAATGCGTTTTTGTAGCTTAGTTTCAGTAAATGCTCTTTGTGGACAATGGAGTATGTTATCATTTTACATCAGACTTTTAATTCAAAAGATATGATATGACCTATTTAAATCTTGCTTTGAGAAGTGAAAAGCTGTCCAAGCATCATTTCCCAGGAAACCTTCCTGTATAGTTTATGCCAAATTCAAGTAAACAATCTTTGACCCATAACAGTCCTGACCCGTCTACGCACATCCAGCTGCATAATTGGATATAGGTGGGTCTGAATTTTTTATTATTAATTTTTTTAATTGATTTATTTTTATTATTTATTTTTGGCTGTACAGGCATTCCCTTTGTTTTGCCAGAAAGTCATGATTTATACACAAGGTGCGCCTGCTGTCAGGAATCATTGGGTGTTATAGGGGAAGAAATGAACAGTAGGAAGTCTTTGATTTTCACACACTACTAAAGCCTTTTGTCAAAACACACACAACACCTCTCACACTCTCACGGTCCAGTGCTAGCTGGCTAGCATCCCTAACTCAAAAATGTCATTATAGTTCAGCTCCATGCGGATGCTTGCCAACAAAACATATTCAAAATCCTAGCAACAGCCCTCTGGTGTTTAGCCATGAAAACACTCAACAGCAATTTGGAAAGAAAAACAACAAGCTTTTGCAAAATAGCATAGTCGGTCACCAGGTTACTGTCAGTCATCTAGACTGACTGATTGTGTAAATGTTTGATGACAATGACAGCAAGGCTTGTTTCACACTGCACAAATATACTGTATACAGAGGTTATCAGGGGCAGTTTTGGGGGTAATACATTACAAGTAACGCTAGTTACGTAATCAGATTACTTTTTCAAGCAACTAGTAAAGTAACACATTATTTTTTATTTAATAAAGAAAATATTGGGAGTTACTTTTTCAAATAACTTAAGTAATGCCAGATACTTTGTTTTCCCATGTATTGACTGACAGCTCTCCTGTACTCATGTTGAGAGAAATCAGGAATAAGTGCAGAGGAGTTGTGTGCGCAGTGTGTACATGATTTTACTGTAGGTCTAGACTAAATGTGAACATGCATTCATCTCACTTGCACAAAAACAGATTCAGTATTCCCTAAAATGAATAAAAACAGTGAAATGCAAACCTGCAATAATTAAATGTTAAATTACACAAATATTCTTTATGTATTTAATCCCATTTTATTAACCAATGTCTTTGCTGCTGACCTTCGAAGATCCAATTCAACCATACTAATAAGCAAAAATAAATTTAGATAAACATAATATTTTTTTATTGCTGAAGAGTGTTGAACTTTCTTCTCATGCGTCCTATTCTTCATGCAATCCAGAATGGCAGCACAGCTGAAAGGTTTGTTTGAGCTGCGCCCTCTACTGTACAAATGTGAATTTCCTTCAGCCTCAGGCTTATTCTTTTCACTTTTGGTGTGAAAGGGCTTTTACTTTTGCCAAAAATTGAACTTTTTTATAATAAAAACAAACAAGCAAGCCCAGACCAGATGAGAAAAAGTAACGCAAAAGTAATATAATGCATTACTTTCCATAAAAAGTAACTATGTAACGCAATTAGTTACCATTTAGGGAGTAACGCAATATTATAATGCATTACTTTTAAAAGTAACTTTCCCCAACACTGATCAGTAGTACACCACTGTTCAAAAGTTTAAGGTTGGTAAGATCTTTTTATGTTTCTAAAAGAAGACTCTTTCGCTCACCGAGGCTGCTTACAAAAAAACATACAAATTTACATTTACTGTACATCAAAATTGCAATTAATCTATCATTTAAGTGTAACTACTGTATAAACAGTCTACTCATCAGTTCGTTTATCACTCAGATTATATAATTTGCATCACGTCCACCACACATCTGTTTTCAAAAATGGCTGAGTAGTTGACACTATTTTTAATTATTTATGCATTTATTTATTTAATTCATTTTTTTATATCCTCATAAAAGTGCATACTATAAAGGATCGTGTTGATAAAGTATATAGTGCAATTTCTCTGTATTTTATGCATAGATAAAATATTTAAAATATGTTCAAAGCCTATGCTATTTGCACCTATACACCCATGCTGTTTACACAGGCAGTGTAAATGCTGTTAACATGAGCAGGAAAATCAGCAGGCAACACTGACATACTGCTTGTTTGTGTGGTGTGGATTGTAAGGATTTTTCTCCTGTCTTACACAGAGAGGGCCAAGAAAGCACAGCCGAATGGAAAGAAGTCAGTTAAGGGTTGCCCAGAGAAAAGAGTTGAGGGAGAGTTTTCTGTCAGTGTCTGAGAGATTGAACAGCTTCTGAAGAGCCTCTTGAGGGGGACAGTGGGGTGTTATGTTTTGGAGGAGTGAATCTAAAGACATGTTGGAGAGAAAAGACATATAATGAGACATGGGAGACTGACATGAAGGACAGAACGAAGATAGTGAGCAGAAGGAACCGAGAAAGACGGACAATAACCAGAGAGGAGTTTTGATTGAGCGGGAATGAGAAACTTAAGGAAAGAAGCAAATGCAGTGACTATTGCAGGGTGCTATGTGGACATGTGGGTTGTGACTGAATAAAACCCTATTCTAAAATGCTGAGCTTGGCATCTATCATATACTTCCCACCCACTCGTGCTAAAGCAGAGCACAACCTTGATATGTGCTTTTACTTTCTTAAACCTTTTAGATCGCTGATTTTATTAATGGAAAAGTGAAGCACAGACAGAATCTGTGGCATGCTGCAGATTACCAGAGAAAATGTTCAGTTTACAATAATGCACTTACAATAGAAGTCAATGGGGAAAAGTATTAAGAGAAGCTAAGAGAATGTGAAGCATTAGTAGCACAATGAGATGAAGAGGGTACATAAAATTCATGTACGAGTATTATATTATGATATATTCATAATATTTTTAACTATAGCAGGACAGATAAACCCTTTCATTTGTTGTATTGCATGTTATATGAACTTGACACCTCTGACATTCATTGTGTATTCTATTGTTACAACAGCTTGCACTTTCATTCTAAGTGCATTACTTATTATTTATGCTTGTTTTTACAAACCACCCATGAATAAAACTTTGATATAGCACCTTTCCAAACTGTTTAGAGAATGCTTTACAGAAGAATTACCATCCACGTAAATACATATGGCAGCAGAGAAAGTAAAACTGACAGAGTAAAATATGAGAGTACATAGGAATAACAGAAGAAAAATAGTGCAAAAGCATGATGCCAAAAAATAAATAATGAAAAACTAAGTATGGAGAAAAGAGAATTAAACTTCCTGAGGAAAAGCTCAAATAAGCAAGTGTGCTATGAAATACTTTTTAAAATTGCTATTTGAGAAAGCTTGTGTTCATAGCGACTAAAAGCTGACTGCATTTTTAAAGGAGCATTCTGTAAAAAAAACGCTCTCGCTGGATCCGCTCCTCGGCTATCAATGAGAGGAATCCGTACTTCCTCAACAGACCATTATTTTGTTGTTTAAAAAAAGGTGTGTTCGTTCAAAACTGTTGCGTTCGATCTTCGCTGGCTGTGCTGATTTAAATCTAGCGGGTCTCGTGTCGCAAGTTCAATGACGCAGGTAGTGACGATTCTCTCCGGCAAATCAGTGATCATCAGAGTTTACACGTCACATTTTGGTGATGGTACAGCTAGCTTGGAACCTCAACCGAAGTGGTACTAAAAAAAGTACCAAGTTCCAGGTACTGTACACAGTGGAAAACTCCCCAAAAGCGAGCTGTGCCATGCCGTACCATGCAGTGGAAAAGCGCCATAAAGCACCACTATTGCTGCCCCTTCCAGCGCCCCTAGTAAGCCACAGGGCTTACGTGGAGAGAGTCTATTACTGTTGTTCCACTAGACCCATACAGTAAGACTTATTGGAAAACACTGGGAAACCGTACCCTTTCCAGGGACGCTGCAGAATCCACATCCTGCCCGCAGGGAGGTATCATGTGGAGATTACACATATGGACTGGGCATTAAGGGCAGTACAACATATGGAATGTCTCTGAGGTGGCTCCAGCCCAGTTAGAAGGGAGGCACCACTGGCAGGGATGGCAGAGCGAAGTCTGCCAAGGGAAAGACACAGGCTCACCAAGAGGGGAACCGTACCGTGGAAGAATACACACATGGGATCAACGTGGGGATCACAACATATGGACACCTAGCCTAGCACAGGGGTCAACCAACAGGCGTACTTACAAGTGTTAGGTCTGCCGAGGGTGATGGAGGAACTCCATAGGGTTTGCCTTGTGGGGAACTGAACTGAAAAGCAGAATAAGCACACGTATCTGGTCCGTAGAGGGAAATGGCACAGCAAGCGCGACACCGAGCAGTTCCTCTGGTTTTACTGGCTACTCGAGGCGAGTACACGAGAGGACACTGGCTCTACACGAAGGCTATAAAACCTAGCAAGCGTGTTTGGTGTCACCCAGCCCGCAGTTCTACATATATCTGTCAGCGAGGTGCCTTGCGCCAACGCCCAGGAAGAAGCAACACTCCTTGTCGAGTGTGATCTCAACCCGAGGAGGCAAGGCACGCCTTGGGTTTGATATGCCAAGACGATGGCATCCACTATCCAGTGGGCCAACCTCTGCTTGGATACAGCCTTTCCCTTCTGCAGGCCTCCGTAATAGATGAAGAGCTGCTCTGAGGTGCAAACGGGACAGAGCAAAGCTAGGGCTGGGTCTGCCTCCTCCGAGGGCAGCGCTTGCAGGTTCAGCACCTGATCTCTGAAAGGCTTGGTGGGAAACCTTGGGCACATATCCGGGCTGGGCTCTCAGGATAACGTGAGAGTTAGCCGGCCCAAATTCCAGGCACGATTCATTGACCGAAAATGCATGCAGGTCCCCTACCGTCTTGATGGAAGCCAGTGCAGTTAAGAGTACTGTCTTTATCGACAGAGTTCTCAGCTCTGCAGACTGCAACGGCTCAAAAGGGGATTTCTGCAATGCCGTAAGCACCAGAGGGAGATCCCAAGAGGGTACAAGTTTAGGTTGAGGAGGATTTAGTCTCCTCGCACCCCTCAGGAACCTGATGATCAGGTCGTGCTTTCCGAAAGACTCACCGTCTACAGGATCGTGATGTGCGGCAATTGCGGCAACAAATACTTTTAGGGTGGAGGGAGACAGCCTTCACTCCAACTCCTCCTGGAGGAAGGAAAGCACAGCTCTGATCCGGCATCTCCGGGGGTTTTCCCGTTGAGAAGAGCACCATTCAATGAACAGGTTCCACTTCAAGGTATAGGCATGCCTCGTAGAGGGTGCTCTTGCTGAAGTGATGGTGTCTACCACCGCCTGGGGTAGATCACCTAGGACCTCCGCATCCCATCTAGGGACCACACGTGGAGGTTCCACAGATCTGGATGCGGGTGCCAGAGGGTGCCCCGTCTCTGAGAAAGTAAATCTTTCCTCAGAGAAATGCGCCAGGGAGAGGCTGTTGCGAGGAGCATCAGTTCCGGGAACCAGGTCCGGTTGGGCCAGTAAGGTGCAACTAGCAGGACCTGCTCCTCGTCCTCCCTGACTTTGCACAACGTCTGTGCAAGTAGGCTCACTGGGGGAAACGCATACTTGCGTAGACCCCGGGGCCAGCTGTGCACCAGTGCAACCGGCCTGAGGGTTCCCCCGGTCAGGGAATAGAACAACTGGCAATGGGAAGTGTCTGGAGAGGCAAACAGGTCTACCTGTGCGGCTCCGAAGTGTCTCCATATCAGCTGGATCGCCTGGGGATGGAGTCTCCATTCTTCTGGAAGCGCTTGCTGCCGTGAAAGCTCGTCGGCTGCACGATTGAGTAGGCCCGAAATTTAAATGGCATGAAGCGACCTCAGATGCTTCTGACTCCATAGGAGGAAATGGCGGGCGAGTTGCGACAAACGACGGGAGTGTAGACCACCCTGGTGGTTGATGTATGCAACGGTCGCAGTGTTGTCCATATGGACCAGTATGTGCTTGCCTTGTAGCAAAATGTACTGCAAGCAACTCGAAGCAATTGATGCCCGTAGTGGAGGCATCTGTGAACGCAACAGCATGCCTGGACACCTGTACTAGGGGAACTCCTGCCCGAAGAAATGCAGGGTCCGACCACGGGCTGAAAGCTTGGCGACAGGCCGGAGTGATCATCACTCGGTGTGTCCCGCGTTGCCACGCCCATCTCGGTACTCGGCCGTGAAGCCAATGCTGAAGCGGGCTCATATGAAGCAATCCGAGCGGTGTTAGTGTGGCTGTGGATGCCATATGCCCCAGGAGCCTCTGAAACAGTTTTAGTGGGGCCGCTGTCCTGCGCTTGAGAGAATTCAAGCAGTTCAGCATTGACCGAACATGTTCCTCTGTGGGGCGTGCCGTCAGGTTGAACGAGTCCAAATCCATACCAAGAAAAAAGATCCTCTGCACTGGAGAGAGTTTGCTCTTTTCCCAGTTGACCCGAAGTCCCAACTGGCTGAGGTGACTGAGCACCATGTCACTGTGCTAGCACAACTGCTCCCGGGACTGAGGCAGAATGAGCCAGTCATTGAGATAGTTGAGAATGCGAATGCCCTGTTCTCTCATGGGAACAAGGGCAGCCTCCGCAACCTTCGTAAAGACACAGGGACAGCCCGAAGGGAAGGACCTTGTACTGATATGCCTGTCCCTTGAATGCAAAGCGGAGAAACGGCCTGTGCCGAGGGAGAATCGAGACATGAAAATACACATCCTTCAGGACCATCGCTGCAAACCAATCTTGGGGACGGATGCATTTGGAAATGCGTTTCTGTGTCAACGTTTTGAACAGTAGTTTGTGAAGGGCCCGGTTCAAAACTCGCAGGTCCAAGATTGGTCGTAACCAGTGGTGGAAAGAGTACTGAAAAAATATACTCAAGTAAAAGTACCATTACCTTCCAAAAAATGTAGTGTAAGTAGAGTAAAAGTACTTCTCCAAAAAACTACTTGAGTAAGAGTAAAAGAGTAGCCTATTTAAAAGTACTCATGAGTATTGAGTAGTGAGTACTCTCGGTGAATCAGCAGCATCCACAACTGAATGGAACAAAAAGTGTTGAACTTGAAAATTGTTTATGCGCAAGTGCACTTGCTAAATGAAGGCGGATTGTATAAAATGGATTTAAAAAAACAAACGTTTATTAACGAGCTGCAGTTTTATTACATCACGCGCTGGCACAGATGCAGTATATTAACGCCACGGGTCATCAATAAGGTGCAGATTTGGTCCTCAGTTTGTGTTTTCAACACACTTTTTCACAGCGCGCGCGCATCACGCGCTCAAACTCATCAAAAGTCAACAAGTTCAACAAGCAACAACGACTTATCCAAGTGAACGCTGCTGCAGAACGGACGCGAGAGAGAGACGAGGCAGCGCAGATCGTGCGTCTCATAAGTGAGTGGGAATTTACCGAACGTGGCACTTGCGGGAGTTAACACTGTATGCAATACCCGCAACCTCACATCAAATTTCAGGCCGTGTAGGTATGCAAGTATATATACAAATAATTTAGTAAGCAGAAATGCGGCAGGGTGAAAGCAGCAGCGGGCCGCCGGGGAAGGATGTGCTTGATAGCCACCATCTGCTTCTGGGCAGCTGAGTACTGTTGGGCAAAGCTCTCGACTGCATCACCGAATAGGCCGGCCTGGGAGATAGGGAGCCGAGAAAACAGTCGGTCTCCCGCATATCCGCCAGGTTCAGCCAGAGATGGCGTTCCTGGACCACCAACGTGGCCATCGTCTGACCCAGGGAGTGCGCAGTGACTTTTCTCACTGTCAGGGCGAGGTCCATCACTGTGTGCAGCTCCTGCATCAGCCCTGGGTCAGAACTACCCTCGTGCAACTCTTTTAGTGCCTTGGCCTGGTATACCTGCAGGAGTGCCATGGTGTGCGGGGCGGAGGCAGCCTGTCCAGCGGCTCCGTAAGCCTTGGCCATAAGAACGGACGAGAACTTACAGGCCTTGGATGGGAGACGCGGGTTACCCCTCCAGGTAGAAGTGCTTCTTGGACACAATTGCATCGCACCGCGCACTCCACTGAGGGGATCGGCGCGTACCCCCTGGCCACCCCACCATCGAGGGTAGTTAGGGAGGAGGAGGCACCAGATCGGTTTCGGGCAGAAAAAGGTGCCGTCCATGACCTAGTCACCTCCTCATGCACTTCCGGGAAGAATGGCACTGGCGCGGGGAGCTGAGAACCAGCCCTGGCTGCCCCGAGATACCAATCATCTAACCTCAACGGTTCGGGACACGGTGGCTGTTTCCACTCGAGCCCGACCGCCTCAGCAGCCTGGGAAAGCATAGCCGTCAATTCTGGGTCAGTCTCGGGCAACGCTACTCTCTCCGAAGGGGGGAACGCAGCCGAGTCCTCATCCCCAGACTCCAGCTCACCCTCCGATGCTGCAATCGGCATCTGGTCATCCGGAGGATCACCGAATGAAACGGCCGGTCCCCCATGAGAAGGACCGGCACATTCACCCGGAAGCTCCACAGCTTGCGGCGTGCTAGATGAATGGGGGACCCACAGAGATTTACTCGGCGGGTTTGCCCCCACTGTAACCCTCAGGTCAACCTGTCTATTCACCAAAGTAGCCCTCTTCAGCGGAACAGAAGAAGAGCTAGATCGAGGCATAGATAAGGGGACTCCACCTCTCCTGAGGTATTGGAGTCTCGACCACAACGCTGAGATGGTCATCCAAACACGTGAGGCAACGATTGTGACTGTCATCCGGCGCCAGGTAATGACCGCATCCAGAAACGCATTTACATTTACTCTTTACAAAGACGCACCCGTGTATGCTTTTTAAGGGAAATTTGCGTTTTTAGTGCTGAAGCGCACAGGGGAACCACCGCTGCAGCGCTGTCACACCAACACCAGTTGAAGAAGCCTCTTCCCAGAGCGCTTGTAGACTCGTTCAGAATCCTCTTAGAATGATAGGCAGAGCAGAACAATAGAACTGCTCGGCTCCGAAGCGAAAAGCTGAATATGCATTGCACCTGCTGCCTACTTATGCTCGTGTCGTGACGAGCAACAGCTTGATGCAATTATTGCATGCCAGTGTGCATTGGCTCGTTTAGTTTACACTCAAAGATGATAGGGCTCTCAGGCGAGATCCCAATTCATCGGTCACCGACGTGTCTCAGAATAACTGACTGACTTATTATCATTCTTTAGTGCTCAGTGGAGACAGTAGTTGTAAGATCAAAAAAGCAGAAGAGGTCCAAAGCCAGAAGAGAGAAAGACAGACAAATACAAAAACAAGTGTAAAAATTGGTGCTAGAGGTCGATTAATCGGCCGATTTTTGGCATTTTTTAATTAGTCAGCATTGGCCGATTGTGCTGCAAATTAGGCTGATTTATAGGCAGGTGCATCTGCGGACAGCTAACGTAGTTGCGGAACACCGGATAATCTCTCTCTGGCTGCGTGAGAGATGGAGCAACTCACACTCTGCAGCCGCTTCTTGTTCACACATAGCTTCAGCTAATGGTAGCAGGGTAAAACAGACCATTTCTAAAGCGTAATTACGTTTTACCCTACTAGAATTGATGCCGGAAAGTTATCATATTCATAAGTGCAACAAGTCATTTGCATGTGAAAGTAGAAACACATGCAATTCAGACAAAACTTCTGGGCTGATTATAATGTGCACGTTAACTTTCCTCATGAAATGTGTGTGTAGGTCCGACAATAGCCTCCACGATGTCATCGCTTGTGGCCAGTGCACTCTTAAGCAGTTATGAGCATGTGTGAACTCTTTTTTGTTATCACTTGGCCATTTGACTTATAGCAGTGTTCATTCATTGTTTCCCATACATTCAGTTATTTGTGGCGGCTCGTCACCGCCACAAATAGATTTCCCAAAAGGCTTATACTTCGTTGAATAAACTGAGCACTGCACGTTTCAAAATTAAAATGCAGCACGGGTGTTTTTATATGAATGTATCTTTGAAAAGAACCGACCGTCTTCAGAAAAGCTTCTATGTCATTTTCATTTCGTCTTTCCTGTAATGCCTGATAAAGCAGTGCTTATTTGATTACAGCCGTTACCGGGGAAACTGCTATATCTCCGCTCCAGCAGCGCCTCCTGCTGGCAGAGAATGAATTTGCATTTGCAAGTCTGTGGGAAACACTGGTGTCTGTCAGCAAACATAAACAAGCAGTATGCTTCAGAACTGTTTTGAGAAGGTGCTTAAGTTTTGAGCCATGTATTATTACTCTGAATTAGGCTACTACTACTATTACTATCTTGTACCCTGCAATAATCATTTACTCAAACTCACTTTTATGAGATGAAGGAAAAAAAACAAAAAAGAAAATCGGCCAAAATATCGGCCCAAAAAATCGGCATCATATATCGCCCATCGGCTGCCCTGATTTCTAAATATCGGCATCGGCCAGTGAAAAACCCATATCGGTCGACCTCTAATTGGTGCGGCTTATACAAGGTGTAAAGATTTCGATTTCGATTTCGATATTTCGATTTAGTAGTGATGCCCAAGCTGCTTCTTTTTGCTGTTGTTTTAATAAATCTAAGGAGCAGAGCTGGGTAGTAACTGATTACATGTAATCTGGATTACGTAATCAGGTTCCAAAAATGAAGTACTTGTAATTAGATTGTTACATTTTAAAATAATCTACAGCGGCCGAGAGAGCTCAATGCACTGCAACTTAAGAAAACACATGCAAATGGAAAAAGCACCAGCAAATTAACAAAACATCTTCATCAGTTTGACAGCACATGTGTTGCACAAATACTTACAACACAACCAAATACAGAAATGCACTGCAAATATGCACAACACAAACAAATACAGAAACGCGCTGCAAAAGCAGAAACGCGCTGCAAATACATAAACAAATACAGAAACGTGCTGAAAAAACGGAAACACACTGCAAATATTCACAACACACCCAAAAACAGAAATGTGCTAAAAATACAACACAACCGAATACAGAAATGTGCTGCAAGTAGGTGTATTGATTTATATGTATTGATTACCATTTGTATAACCACAGCTGTAAAAATAAATACCATGGTTAAGTGTAGCAACATTTAGGCTAATAATATCCAAAAAAGCTAAAGATCAGGATGTTAAAACAAACAAAAATCTCACCTTTCAGAATAGACATTGATAAGCATGTCCTTCAGCCTGCTTAACTGAGTTTGAGCCTATTTCTTCTTCCTTTCTTATGGATGTTTTCCATAAAATTAAGCTTTCCTCGTGCTCCTTGAATGTGGTTCCTGCTCGTCTTTTTATGGAAATTCTGGGTGTTGTTGAACCTTTTGTTGTAACAGTAATAAACAGTAGCCTATCTCCAGGCATTGTTCCACCAATCCTGAAACATGCAGTAGTGAATTCATTTCGAAAAAAGGTCTGTTCATATCCTTATATTTTGGATAACTATCGGCCCATCTCAAAATTACCATTTTTATCGAAAGTGATGGAAAAGGTTGTCTTCCACCAATTGACTGTATTTTTAAGTTAGAATAACTTGTTAGACAAGTTTCATTCGGGTTTTAGACAACATCATAGTACAGAGTCAGCTTTGCTGAAGGTGCTGAATGATCTTTTGTTAGCTGTGGATTCAGGTAATTCTGCAATTCAAGTACTTTTGGACCTCAGTGACTAAACTGACCATGCTATTTTACTTGAATGGTTGAGCAATTGTGTAGGAATTCAAGGTACTGTATTGAAATGGTTTAAATCCTGTTTTTGTGATAGAACATTTTCGGTAAATTTTTCTTCCTCTTCTGTACCATTAACATTCGGTGTATCTCAGGGATCAATTTTGGGCCGATTTTGTTTTCATTTTATTTGCTCCCTTTAGGCCTGATAGGCCGAAAAGCATAACATTCCTTTACCATTTTTGTGCCGATGACACACATATGTACCTCTCTTTGAATCATGGGGATAATTATGGCATACATTCTCTATTGAACTGTCTAGCGGAGGTAAGATGCTGGCTGGCAGCCAATTTTCTAACATTAAATGACATTAAAGTCCTCTCTATCCCGCCCTCAATTAGTACAAAATGCTGCCGCCAGGCTTCCTACTGGAACTAGAAAGAGGGAACACATTCGCCTGTTCTGGTTTCAATCATTGGTTGCCAGTTGAATACCGTGTAAGTATTATTGTATGTGTATAAGGGGCTAAATGGCCGGGAACCACAATACATTACATTTCTGATCTTCTTGCACACCGTAAATGTTCTAGGTCCTTAAGGTCCTCAGACAGTTTGATGCTGACTGTGCCACGGTCACGTTTGAAGTTAAAAGGAGATTGTGCCTTCTCTGTTGCGGCTCCATTACTGTGGAACGATCTGCCGTTACACATTAATCTGTCATCCGATGTTGATTCCTTTAAATCTTCACTGAGAGCATATCTTTTCTCTCTGGCTTTTGGATCAATGTAATCTTATTAATCAGGGTGTCCTCTTGTCAGTTTATCTATTTTTTTTTGTGTGTGTGTGTCTTCTTTTCACTTGTATTTGATCGTTTTAAGTTTTTAGAGTGAACAGCACTTTGGTCAGCAGCTGCTGTTTTAAATATGCTTTAGAAATGTTTGTCACTTGTTTCGGTTCCTTTAAATATTTCCGATGTGCGTATTTGCAGCACGTTTCTATATATGGTTGTGTTGCGAGTATTTGCAGCACATGTGTTGTCAAGCTAATGAAGATATTTCTTAATGTGTTTTTTTCATTTGCAGCGCGTTGAACTCTCTCTGCCACTGTAATAATCAGAATACAGTTACTTTTTACTGATTACATAACATATTACTCACACAACAGCAATAAATTATTCATATTTGACTGTTTCTCCCTAATTGTTATTTTCATCTTTTAATTTACATTCTAAAGGTGTCTATATACATTCAGAAAGTCAATTTTCACTTCACAGGACTTTAATTGCTGGACTAGAGTGGTGTGGATTACTTGTGGATTATTGTGATGTTTTTATCAGTTGTTTGGACTCATTCTGACGGCACCCATTCACTGCAGAGGATCCATTGGTGAGCAAGT